ATTCATGGAATTTATTTACCAAAAGAATAAAATATATACAACCTTATTCTACATAATTAAAAAACTAATCTTTATTTCATGATGGAATAACCTTTGGATGGTAATATATTTTCCTCAAAAAGCATTTTATTTAAAAAAATCAGATTTTTTTTTTTTTTTTTTTGATTTTTTAAAAAAAATCATTGATTTTTATCCACCCTGTTTAACGGCCAAATTTTCATCCGAAAGAATAATCAGCTGATTTTCGCACCTGTTAGTGGGGCAATGTTGTCGGACGATTTTCCTCCTCATTTCTTTTATCAGTCATGCTGGAAAATTTACGAAAAACAGACGATTTTCATAAGCATTGGTGGCAACAGAACGACCAATTTTCGTTTTTTTTTCGGCCAAAAAATTCAGCCGATAAATGAACCGTCTATGGCCTGCCTTAGTCTCCCTCTTGTTTTTTTTCCTTTAGGTTGAATATCATTTTTTAAAGGCCTGGTGTTCCCCTATATATGTGTGTACCTCTATCACAAGCTGTTTGCATTGCCACGTCTCCCTAACACAGCCATACTTGGGTATTTGGTCCCTCTCTCTGCCTCCGGTCCCTACTCTTCGCTTGGCTCCTAAGCCTTGGAAGTTGGTGTTAAAGTTCTTGTATTTCCAGTGTAATGTATCTGTTGATATTTGCCTGTTACATCCATAATAAGGCTGCGTAACATGGACTTCAATTATGTATCTTCTGCCACGTACTATGCCATGGGATTGTACTATGGTTTTTTTTATTTTTGTCAATAAAGTTGCTTTTTGTGACCAAAAAAAAAAAGAACCTGGTGAAGTTTTTGTCTGTTTGTTTTTGTTTTTTATTTTTTTTTTTTTTAGAGACATCTGCAATAGCTTCACCAAAGCAATTCACAGTAAGAACAACATGACTGACTAAAAAAGTTGGACATTTTGCCCGCTGTCAGCCCTTACACAGATCAGTGCTGCCTTTCGGTGTAACCACTCTCCGCATGAACTGGTTTGGTATAGATAATGGCTGTCTCCGGTTATTGACCCCGCTTCTCTCTTCTTTCTACAGGGACTGTATGACAACTTTTTGAACATGAAGGTTAAAGAGTCCAGTTTCGGCATTGTGTGTTTGGCTCTGGACTGGCTGGGGTTCACAGACATAGTAAATTCAATGATAATGCATGGGCAGAACTTCCAGCTGATGAAATATACTTGCCCTTCCTTCCTGTCGCCTTCCACCTCTTTTTTGCTGCCAACAACATCCCTCGGATTGCCTATCCCAACAGCCATTATGAGGTATATCCAGGCTTAGTATTGCTTTTTTTTTTTCTTTTACGTTCAGTTATGTTGCTTAGCTTTTTCGTTCATTTTTAGCAAAGAAGATGGATCGTCCTAAGTGTATGTGCGACAAATTGACAGTGTGGCTGTGTCTCCTCTGCATGGTTGCAGTTCTCCTTTTGGCCAGTAGATGATGCTAATTTATTAGACTCCTTGTATTCATTGCTGTGTGTGTGTACTAGTCCAGTACTTGACCAGAGTCTATGGAGGATATCTGATTCATCATAAAGAAATGGATTTGTTACCTTTACTGTTTCTACATTCGCTTTTGTATGGAAATTCTTTAAAGTGCTACTAAATCCACAACCGTAAATTCAGTCTGTATATGCAGTAAAGCATGCTTGTTATACTCACTGTGAAACCTAAGGGTTAATCCTCCGCATTGTGGAAAAATTTTGTTTGATCCTGACTTCTCTGGTCCACCCCCATTCCAGTGTCTCCCTCTTATCTTCTGATAAGACATATCGTGTGGAGACACTGTAAATGTTTAATTTGGTGTGTATTGCTAGAGAGGTTTTTTATTTTTCCTTGAGAAAGTGCGTGTGATCAGCACAGTGCCAATCAGCACTGTCCAGACAGAAGTCAGGGGTTCTGCATCCTCCTAGAGAAAACTCCTCCCTCAAGCTTTAACCAGTGCTCTGCTGGACACTGATAGAAGTCACAGGACTGCTCTAACTGCTGATGAGCAAAGGTATTCATCAGTTTATATTTACTAAAATAATTGCATTTCCATGTTGTGTGTACTGTGGGAGACCGGATATAGTATAGGGTCCGGGGATGCAGTGGATGCCGGGGAGACCGGATATAGTGAATGCAGGGTCCAGGGGATTGAGCGGATATAGTGAATGCGGGGTCCAGGGAGAGCGGATATAGGAAGAGCGGAGATATAGTGAATGCGGGGTCCGGGGAGACCGGATATAGAGTGCAGTGCACCGGGTCCGGGGAGACCGGATATAGAGAGTGCAGGGTCCGGGGGGAGACCGGATATAGAGAGTGCAGGGTCCGGGGAGACCGGATATAGAGAGTGCAGGGTCCGGGAGACCGGATATAGAGAGTGCAGGGTCCGGGGAGACCGGATATAGAGATTAGTAACACTGGAATATCTCTGCTAGCATGAGTAGAAAGGTGATTGCAGGGCAAAAACTAAATAACTACCCCCCCCCCCCCCCACTGTCCCCCCCAGTTTTTTTTTAATTTTTTTTTATTTTTTTTTTTTTTTTTTTTTTTTTATTTTTTTAGTTTGTTTTTTTTTATTTTAGTTTTTTTTTTTTTTAATTTTTTTTTTTTTCACTATTTTTTTTTTTTTTTTTTTATTTCAGAACTGCCTTTCGTGTTTCAACTCTCCGCGAAACTTTTTTGGTATAGATAATGGCTGTCCTCCGGTTATTGACCCCGCTTCTCTCTTCTTTCTACAGGGACTGTATGACAACTTTTTGAACATTGAAGGTTTAAAGAGTCCAGTTTCGGCATTGTGTGTTTGGCTCTGGACTGGCTGGGGTTCAAGACATAGTAAATTCAAATGATAATGCATGGGCAGAACTTCTCAGCTGATGAAAAATACTTGCCCTTCCTTCCTGTCGCCTTCCACCTCTTTTTTGCTGCCAACAACATCCCTCGGATTGCCTATCCCAACAGCCATTATGAGGTATATCCAGGCTTAGTATTGCTTTTTTTTTTCTTTTACGTTCAGTTATTTTGCTTAGCTTTTTCGTTCATTTTTAGCAAAGAAGATGGATCGTCCTAAGTGTATGCGACAAATTGACAGTGTGGCTGTGTCTCCTCTGCATGGTTGCAGTTCTCCTTTTGGCCAGTAGATGATGCTCTATTTATTAGACTCCTTGTAGTCATTGCTGTGTGGTATGTGTACTAGTCAGTACTTTGACCAGAGTCTATGGAGAGAGGAACTCTGATGCATCATAAAAGAAATGGATTTGTTACCTTTACTGTTTCTTCATTCGCTTTTGTATGGAAATTCTTTAAAGTGCTACTAAATCCACAACCGTAAATTCAGTCTGTATATGCAGTAAAGCATGCTTGTTATACTCACTGTGAAACCTAAGGAGTTAATCCTCTGCATTGTGTAAAAATTTTGTTTGATCGTGACTTCTCTGGTCCACCCCCATTCCAGTGTCTCCCTCTTATCTTCTGATAAGACATATATCGTGTGGAGACACTGTAAATGTTTAATTTGGTGTGTATTGCTAGAGAGGTTTTTTATTTTTCCTTGAGAAAGTGCGTGTGATCAGCACAGTGCCAATCAGCACTGTCCAGACAAGTCAGGGGTTCTGCATCCTCCTAGAGAACTCCTCCCTCAAGCTTTAACCAGTGCTCTGCTGGACACTGTTAGAAGTCACAGGACTGCTCTAACTGCTGATGAGCAAAGGTATTCATCAGTTTATATTTACTAAAATAATTGCATTTCCATGTTGTGTGTACTGTGGGAGACCGGATATAGTGGATGCAGGGTCCGGGAGGCCGGATATAGTGGATGCTGGGTCCGGGGAGACCGGATATAGTGAATGCAGGGTCCGGGGAGAGCGGATATAGTGAATGCGGGGTCCAGGGAGAGCGGATATAGTGAATGCGGGGTCCGGGAGAGACCGGATATAGAGAGTGCAGGGTCCGGGGAGACCGGATATAGAGAGTGCAGGGTCCGGGGAGACCGGATATAGAGAGTGCAGGGGTCCGGGAGACCGGATATAGAGAGTGCAGGGTCCGGGGAGACCGGATATAGAGAGTGCAGGGTCCGGGGAGACCGGATATAGAGAGTGCAGGGCCGGGGAGACCGGATATAGAGAGTGCAGGGTCCGGGGAGACCGGATATAGAGAGTGCAGGGTCCGGGGAGACCGGATATAGAGAGTGCAGGGTCCGGGGAGACCGGATATAGAGATGCAGGGTCCGGGGAGACCGGATATAGAGAGTGCAGGGTCCGGGAGACCGGATATAGAGAGTGCAGGGTTCCGGGGAGACCGGATATAGAGAGTGCAGGGTCCGGGGAGACCGGATATAGAGAGTGCAGGGTCCGGGGGGAGACCGGATATAGAGAGTGCAGGGTCCGGGGAGACCGGATATAGAGAGTGCAGGGTCCGGGGAGACGGATATAGAGAGTGCAGGGTCCGGGGAGACCGGATATAGAGAGTGCAGGGTCCGGGGAGACCGGATATAGAGAGTGCAGGGTCCGGGGAGACCGGATATAGAGAGTGCAGGGTCCGGGGAGACCGGATATAGAGATGCAGGGTCCGGGGAGACCGGATATAGAGAGTGCAGGGTCCGGGGAGACCGGATATAGAGAGTGCAGGGTCCGGGGAGACCGGATATAGAGAGTGCAGGGTCCGGGGAGACCGGATATAGAGAGTGCAGGGTCCGGGAGACCGGATATAGAGAGTGCAGGGTCCGGGGAGACCGGATATAGAGAGTGCAGGGTCCCGGGAGACCGATATATAGAGAGTGCAGGGTCCGGGGAGACCGGATATAGTGAATGCAGGGTCCGGGGAGACCGGTATATAGTGAATGCAGGGTCCGGGGACCGATATAGTGAATGCAGGGTCCGGGAGACCGGATATAGTGAATGCAGGGTCCGGGGAGACCGGATATAGTGAATGCAGGGTCCGGGGAGACCGGATATAGTGAATGCAGGGTCCGGTGGGGAGACCGGATATAGTGAATGCAGGGTCCGGGGAGACCGGATATAGTGAATGCAGGGTCCGGGGAGACCGGATATAGTGAATGCAGGGTCCGGGGAGACCGGATATAGTGAAATGCAGTGGGCGGTTCCGGGAGACCGGATGATATAGTGAATGCAGGGTCCGGGAGACCGGATATAGTGAATGCAGGGTCCGGGGAGACCGGATATAGTGAATGCAGGGTCCGGGGAGACCGGATATAGTGAGAATGCAGGGTCCGGGGAGACCGGATATAGTGAATGCAGGGTCTGGGGAGACCGGATATAGTGAATGCAGGGTCCGGGGAGACCGGGGATGTAGTGAATGCAGGGTCCTGAGTTTAGTAACACTTTAATATCTCTGCAGCATGAGTAGAACAGGTGATTGCAGGGCAACACAGATAAGGCTAGTAAATGTAATAGATTGACAAGAATGATTTTTTTGCATGCAAAGCCTTTGTTACAGTTCTGCTTTAAAGTGTAAGTAAAGGTATAACTTTACATTTTTGTAGAGAACATACTTATAATTAAAGTGTAATTTTAAAAATGGACATCTCATGTGCCTGCCACACTCGTTATTGCAGACAGGTTAAGAGTTCAGTTATTCCCTTAGATAAATGGGTAATGGCAATACTCATGGTCATTCCATGAACATCATTTTCTTTATTTTTACAGAAATGTTTTATTTATTTATTTATTTTTACATCTTTCTAGTGTATATCATATAAAGTGGATATAAAACGTCTACATACCCTTCTAAAAATGCCAACATTTAGAGATTTTGGGGGGGGGGGGTGGAGAACAAGATATATCACTTTTTTCACTTTTATTATGACCTATTATGTGTGCAATTCAGTAAAACACAAATTAAAGGTCATAAATGAAAAGAATGAACAATAATGTGGTTACATAAATATGCACACTCTTGAACTAATATATTATTGAAACACCTTTTGATTTTATAACCGCATTCAATCTTTTGGGGTAGGAGTCTTATCAGCATAGCACATCTTGCCTTAGGAATCGTTTTTCACTTCTTTTGCAAAAGCACTCCAAATCTCTCAAATTGTAAGGGAATCTCAATTGGATGTTTTTGTACCCTTCTTCTGACCGATACCTTCCAACAATGCGATCCCTTTGATGCTTTGTAAGCTCTTTGAGGACCGTAGCTTTAGTTATAAGAGTTAACTGAGTGAGGGTGCTTTCACGCTGCAAGGGTGCATTTTCCCCACAGCGCATGGCGCAAATTTTTTGTTTTTTTTTTTTTGTGTTGGTTATGCGTGCTTTCCCATCGACTTTTGTTAGATCTGTAATTTTTTTGGTGCATTTCCTTCAGTACTCCAAAGACATGCTGGTAGCGAAAGTTCATCTTTTTACTGAAACACGCTATGCTGTTTAGGCAGGGGCGGAATGACCATTGGGAAACTCGGGCACTTCCCGAGGGCCCAGGGTCAGTAGGGGGCCCCATGAGATGCCCCTGGTACCTTTTTTCATAGACTTTTTTGAGTTTGGGCAAGGACACAGGGGCCCCATGAGTTGTCAGTCCGCCCCTGTGTTTAGTGCTCCCAGAGAATTAAAAATTCTTTACCAGTAGACCATGGCTGACATCCCCAAAGCCTGCCATTATAACTCCCAACAAAGTGATTAGTTGCATCCTGCCTAAATTCCATGACTCTCCAAACATTAGACGATCATTCCAAACATTACAAGAGCGAGTGCGCATCTGCGCTCCAGGTCCATGCTTGTGCGGTGCACACAGCCGCTACTGCTATATGCAAAGAAACAGAGGGCGCACGGGCCTAGTGCATTACCTTCTAAAAATTAGATTTATTGAATAAAAAGTAGTATACTCACAAAAGAAAAAAATCAAAGGCACATCGCAGAAAAGACAGCATGGTCCAATCTCCCTAGATCAGGGTCAGGCAACCTGAGAGCTGTAGGACTACAAGTTCCATCATGCCTCTGCAAGTCATAGCTGTAACTGTCAGTTTTGTAATCTTTGCAATGCCTCATGGGAAATGTAGTTCCACAACAGCTAGAGAGCCACTGGTTGCCTACCCCTGGCCTAGATGGTGGCAGAGCCACTGTGGCTCTGAGGAAGAGGTTCTGCCTCGAAACGCGTCAACCCTTTGGAGGCCTACAGTCCCCCAATAGCCACCATCTAGGGAGATTGGACCGTGCTCTCTTTTTCGTGATGTGCCTTTGATTTTATTCTTTGTGAGGTTACTACTTTTTATTCAATAAATATCATTTTTAGAAGGTAATGCACTAGGCTCCGTCTCTTTGTTTCTTTGCACACAGCTCCTTTGGATTTCCCTGGTCTGTTGAGGGCAGCAAGGCTTGCATTCCTAAAAAGTACTCCATGTGGGGTTACTGACATTGTGGAGCTCATCATCCAGCGCAGGACTTTCAGCATTCATTTGCTCATGCTACTGCTATATGGCAAGGAGATTGCAGTGTGCACGAGTGAGTTTGGAATGTGGAAGCGAGCGCACTCCTGTGATGCTGGGTGCAAGAACTTGGGCAGGACACAGCTGACCGCTTCAGTGAAAGTTTTAATAATAATCTTTAGGGATATCCATCATGGACTACTAGTAAGGCAATAAAACGAAGGATAACCTTGACAGAGTCTCCTAAACAGACCTCTGCTAAGCAAATGAGTCATTGTCAGGGGCGGACTGACAACTCATGGGGCCCCCGGGCAATAGGGGATCATGGGGCCCCTGTGTCCTTGCCCAAACTCAAAAAAGCCTATGAAAAAGGTACCAGGGGCATCTCATGGGGCCCCCTACTGACCCCGGGCAGTGCCCGAGTTTCCAAATGGTCAGTCCGCCCCTGGTCATTGGTTGCCTTACTAAAGGGGATTTGTAATTTGTTTTAACCTAACCCCCCTCATGCCAACCATACGCAAATATGTGGCCCCACTGGAATGGGCTTTTTTTCCGCGGGGGCCGCAAATTTGCGTACTTGTCTTTGTGCTGGGAGCGCACCACACAGCACGCTCCCAGCACAGAGATCAGGGTCTCACCAAGATCCAAGGATCCTGTGGGGTAATAATCAGGACCCGGAACTGCCGATTTCTTGTCACCTCATCGCTGTGATAGCCTCTGACTATCACAGTGATCAGTCACTGTGAAGCCCGCCACTGTGTTTCTCTCTCTGAGTGGAAGAGAGAGATCTACTGTATCTCCCTTTGTCCTTTCAGAGAGAAAAAAATAAAAGAAAATAAAAATAACTAGATCAAAGTTTGCTCAAGGTCAGTCCCAGGGCTAGTTTTTTTTTTTGGGGGGGGCGGGGGGGCAGGAGTGGTCAGGAGTTTTTTTTTTTTTTTTTTTTGGTAAATTTAGTATCAGTGTCAGTTGGTGTCAGTGTATTTTAGGCAGGATAAAAAAAAAAGCAAAATGTGCAATGTCCTGATGACCATTGTTGTTGAGATTGAAAATGTAGGAAAACCTATACTTCTGAGTGTCATCAGGACAGGGGAAATCTGTCAATAGGGGTGCTTGTTCTGGTGTTTACTTAGGAGGGACTTCCTCTCAGTTACTGTGTCTATAGGACAGGAAGTGAAGGGAAATCTCCCAGTGGGGCAAAGCCTCAAAAAAAAAAAAGATGGAATTTTGACTTTTTTTTTCTCTAGCCTAATAAAAAAAATAACTTCACTTAATGGTTTTGCTTTGTTCTTCCAGGCCCTGTCCAAATTGAACCAAATGCAGAATATTCTTAATTCGATGGTCTCAGAAATCTCTCCACATATTCGCACACGTGTGGGCCCTCAGTCCTTGGTATTAGATGCCCTCTGCCTGCTGCTGGATGTCATCTCACCAAAGATGCGCCCTGTGAGTATTTTATTTTGGAGTTTTTTGTTTTGTTTGTTTTGTTTTTTTTTGTATTCTCCCAAAACCAACATTCTGATTATGACCATTTCTCCTACTTTGCAACCATAGTGTGTAGCCAAAACAAAAGGAACTGCTTAGCATATACCAACAAATGCTTACCGAGTAGAAGAGCTCACTTGGGTATAATTTTGTACTCCTAATCAAAACAATGCTTTGTCAATAGTGATATAATCCCACACTCTGTCTAAACAAGAATAAATATGAAAAGGATGATTCTCAGAGAGGTCCCTTACCTCCCCTTCTGGGGTCCTCCGCTGGTGCTCTCGGTTCTTCCTTCCCTGTCTGTGCCCCTATAGTAAGCTCATCACCTGGAGTCTGTGCAATCTTCAGTCTTCCCTAGCTCTGTTGGGTGTGGTCCACTTCTTCTACTTTGTCCAAGGAGGGGTTTGCTTCAGTCATGCAAGAGATATACATCTTCTGATTCTTAAAGAAAATGTGTTTCTTGTAGCCATCACCTCTGAGAGGCAGGTGTTTGAGCTTGGTCTCATTGTCCTGTGTTTAAAAAAAAAAAAAAAAAAAAACAAGCCTGTTCTGGTCTGACAAGATAGTGCTGAGGTCCATCGCGTCCTCCTACCTAAGGTAGTTTTGGCTTTTCACAGTCCAGAAGTCCTTCCTCAGTCCTGCTCTGTCCCACTGTCTGGCTCCTATTCAGCAGAATACTTCCGTCCATGGCTTGGATGTGGTTCTGAGTGTGGTACTCTTTGTCTCAGCCTTGGCTACCTTCTGAAAGACTGATCTTTATCACTCCCGGTTTGTTTCCGTAAAAGCGCATCATTCCACCATTTCTTGGTAGCTAAGGCACAGTCCTTTAAGAATATGGGGTTGATTTTCTAAAACTGGAGAGTGTAAAATCTGGTGCAGCTCTGCATGGGAGACCATCTGCTTCCAATTTCAGCTTGTTTAACCCCCCTGGCGGTATTCCGAGTGTCGGTCGGGGTAATGTTTCAGTACCACAAGCGGTAACCCCGAGCTACACTTGGGAATGCCTTGCAGTGTTGCTCCGGGATCCCTTCTGCACTCACCTTGTCCTGGCTCCTGTGATGTCCCTCCTGCAGTGTCCCCTGTGTTGTCCTCCGGCAGATGCCGGCATCTGGGTTCCATTTCCTGTGACGTCGGGACGTACGGGGGACAGAACTGGTGGGAAATTCAAAAATGTGAAAAAGTAACATTCACAAAATTCACTAAAATCACCTAGTAAAACATTCCTGTATCCATCCATTTCACATACATTTTGTCCCGAGTGCTTTGTCCGGCGCCCTGCCTGCATTTTTACTGTTCTTTCTGCCTGGAAACTGAGAAACGTCCCATGGCGTCAAAAAGCGTCCCTTTTAGGTCAAAAGCGATTTTAGACCAGCTAGAGAACAACGATAGTAAATCAGAACCACTTGCAGAATTGAGTGATAATGATTCGTGGGGGAAATTCGTAATTACACTGAAACGATTTTGCGACTTTGCTCAGTGATGTGCGAATTTGGCGCTCTATTTAAAATTTTCAGTGTTTTTGGTTTGATTATATTATTGAA